AGGTGTTTCTTATGCTGCAAGATTCCACCTTCTGTCTCTCAGTCACTGTCACTGATTGCTCAGTGCTGGGATTGAGTCATTTGAGGGCTGAGTCATTTTTAGTGGCTGTGCTGTAAAAGTTCACATGATAAGACTTGTAGCTAGTCATCCAGCTTCCTGGAATTGTATTTTTGAGCCTATTTTTACTTTTAGAAATACACTGGATATAATATAGCAAATTGGTCAAAAGGCTTTTGTTTTTTTATGACATCTGAAAAATTTTATAATGTTTAAATATATTTATAAACTTTTTTTTACATGTAGGGGAATGTATTATTACATTATAACATTACAATCAATACATTCATATACATTAACAAGTTTTTTTTTTTAATTCATAGCCCCTCATTTGTTTAGGCAATTCACACAGGAGGGTTGAAAGTGACACATACTTGCCTCACACATGATTTATTGTGCAACTCAGGCCCTGCGAGCACACAGCAAGCCACTCAGGTCACTGGTCCATGGCTAGCCCAGGATGTCCTGGCTAAGTATGAACACAGAAGCGCCCTGGGATTCAGTGTGTTCATTGCCAATTCAGTGTGTTCTGACACTTGGTCTGATTGTACCTGGCTAACAACCAGTCCAGATTCAAAGAGACAGCCTCTTAACTGTAAGAGCTATCCTTCGCTCTAAGCAGAACCTGGATTGACCATGTAGTCATCTCCAATATACTGTACATATCTTAAGTGCATTAGTCACCCCTTACAAGTGTGTTATACCCGTGGGCTTGTAATTGACTGACATAGAGAAAAGCTTGCACTGCCTCCTGTCTTCCCTGAGAAAAAATATTATTATTACTGCTTGGAAAGAAGATGTACCACATGGACTGCAGTAAAAGTCTTCTTAGAGGCTGTAGTTCTGAATTTTGCTAACTACACGTGCACCCAATATTTGAATATGAATTTGAGGTAAACATGTGAAAAAATCTTTCTTTGAGTTAGCCCCCTTAATGATTATTTGCTTTATGCCTAGTGATAAGTAGACCCTTGCATTCTCTTATTTATTCTCCTCTTTATTTTGGGACTATAGGAAATGTAATGTTTGAGTAAGGATAATCTTTTCTGGTGATCCTTTTGTCATGTAAAAGGCTTTGTCTTCATTGTCAGACAACACTATGGTAGAGTTGTAATGTGCTGCTACCTTTTTGTGACATTTGGATTTCGGTTCATTATTTCATATTCATGTACTGTAGGTCCCACAATAGTGACTCGGTGAATAAGAAGTGGAATTGACCATTTCAAGATTGGTGGGCATTATTTTTACATTATTAACCAAACATTACTTAAACAAGTGCAGTTTAAGTAAGTGTGAACATACACATGCACATGCTAATAGTTATGGATAGTTACTGTATGTGCTCCTATAATTGCCAAAAAAGAAAAATGTGTCCTTATATTATGTTTAGTGCACATCCCTACTGATGTTTAAATTCAGATTCGTCAATTAAGCTGTGAAAAAGACCCAGCTCTTCCTTAAGTCATGTTCCTTAATTTTGTCTTGCAAAATTAACATTGTAATCTATTTGACTTGCTGTAGACATCACATAACACACTAACATGTAGGTAAAGGTAAAACAGTTGTCTTTCTGTACTCTGTGGTAAGCCTACATTTAATGTGATTAAACATTTTCAATTTTTTATTCCTCTGACAGAAGTACGTTATGCCTCAGATTTCTGTTAATATAGAAAAGGAATTTGAACAGCACAGTTTTCTGACATTTTTGACGACCAAGCCTTAATATATTCAGCTCCTTTTATTTTGGCTGTTTAGCACGATTCATACATTCCCCTACATTTAAGTAAATAATCTCCACTGTTGATGTAGTGGTTGTCATTCATGATTAAAACTGAGGTGTATTAAATGCTAGGAAATATGCAGCCCTTAATAACAGGGTGTTACAGCGTTATCAGCTTTTACAGTGCAATGAAATACTTTCACTTATCTTCAGCAAAATGCCAGTGAAGATGCCTGTTACTTTGGAAAGACTGAACACATATTTTTGTAAAGAAAAATAAGTACAGATAGTGTTTTATAATACCATGCAAATTATTTGTGAATCTGAGAAGATGTCTTGTATTAATATCAAGGTAAAAGGAAATAGAATTATGAAGACATGTGCTTATAAATTCACCTGCATTTACTATACTGTCTAAATAAAATAAAATCTCTGCAGTGTTTTAATAAAAACATCTTTCAGTTCTTAATAAAATTGGTTACATTATTTTGTGCCAGTCTAAGTCTTATACTTCTACAAATGGTTAAGAACTGGTTAAGAAAATGTATGACCTAAAGGTATTCATTATCAGATTTACTTTTTCATTCTAGAGATCACTTGCTGTGGTATTGATGGTTGGGGGTTACATATTTTGGGTAGTGGAGTCTTCTGCAGGCTCTTCTGTATGGACGTTTGGACCAGAACACTTTGAAGGTCTTTAGGAGTTGATGACTTGTTTCCTTCTGTCATTTCCAATCTTGAGCCCAGAGATCCTGATGCAACTATCTTATCAAGAACAGGCCTATACCCTTACACCCGAAGAAGGCTCCACAGCTGAAATGTTGTATTTTCTTTATTTCGTTTTCAGCATGGTATAAACCTATTGCTTGCTCCTAAGATTAAGTCAGTACAATTAAAGGAATATAAAAAGGCATTTCCAATTTCAAAGGTTTTTAGTATTTGTATACTAAAAGTACCTTTTAAGTATTGGTTGGTGTTACTGTTCATCACTAAAAAAGTGATCAATTTTTTATATTGAAGCAAAGTCAATTACTCGAGTGAATTTGTCACCATTAAGCTCTGACAGATATGTTAAACACTCTTAATTCAGTTAATCCAACTGAAGAACCGCTGCATGAATATGAAGTGAAATTGTATTGATTTTTTTAGGCCACATTTATGATGGTTTATACACTACTGAAAATTGCCACCCTTTCTATATGTAGAAAAAATAGGTCTGTAAAACGTACAGAAAAAATATATTTTCTAACGTAATCATTGTTTACTTAATTCACAGTAGATATTTTGTGCTGCAGTACATAATATTAAGTAAGTTCTGTTTTTACTACAGTTTAACAGTTTAAGATATTGCTGGGTTAAAAATGTATTTTTGTTTAACTTTTAGTTCTACTGTGCACATTAGAGTGACTGGATTATGCATTTTCTACTGTGTTAAAAACATAATTAGTAAGGCAAAAATATGAGCAGGCCATTTTGATTATTATTTTAGTAGCTAAATGAATATAAAGTTCTTTTCAGTAGCTACTTCAAGGAGTTCAGAGTTTGGGACCACCTGTTCCAGATGACCAATGATATGCATAAAAAAGTGTTTTATGTTCTGTCCATCCATTTCCCAAGTACAATGTCCAATTTAGGGTCACGGGAGGGCCAAAGCCTATTCCTGCAAACAGTGTCCCACCTTAAATGGGACACTACTCCATCACCGCACAGACAACAGACACAAACATGCATACACTCACACCTACAGTAGGGTGAATTTTCCCAGAAGCCAGTTAACCTTCCAGCATGTCTTTGGAATGTGGGAGGAAACTGGAGCATCTGGAGGAAACCCACGTGAACATGGGGAGAACATACAAACTCCACACAGATAGTACCTCAGGTCCCAAACGGAACCCAGGGCCCTGGAGCTGTGAGGTAGCAATGTTAACCACAGCTTCACCGTGCCACCCATGTTTCATACTCTTTGTCATAAATATTTTAGTTTACCCTTGTGACCCTGCATACGTGTTAAAATATTTAGTTTGAAGGGTCAGCTCAGTCAATGGTGGTCATAGCTTTAGGATTTTCTATTCTTTGGTCAAATCTACTTTGAATCACTTTTGCTACTGACTGAATGTATTCTTACTTAAATATTCATCTTAAGTCTTGCTCTTCTGCGAGCTCAATGTACTGTTAAGCTAGGAAATTCTTTTTGTGGTAAACTTAAAAACAAACAATATTTTAAACTTGTCAAACTTGCTCAATCTAAAATATAAAGCTTCAGTGTAATCTCCCTTGATTTCATTTCCACATTGTGCCATATGTAGAAACATGCTTTCTGCAACTCATGTGATATGTATATGTTCCTTGTGCGGATCACATTGTACAAGATAATGTTAAATTGAATTTGACAGTTGTCAGTCCTTCGTTTCATGTAAGTTTTTTTTATACCAGCCCATATTGGTTTGTTACATCATACACAGATATAACTACTTTTCTACAACTTGTTTCCTAGCTATAAAGGATTCTTAATCATGGATATTGGTCAGAAAGAACTAAGGGTCTAAAATGGATCATTGCAGTATACACAAGGTTATGTTGGACTCAATAGAGATTATGTCCCTTGTTCTTTCTTATTGGTTAACTAGTTTTCAGTGTAAGTACTTTGGTATTTTATAGTTTTTAGTTTGAAAATTACATAGAAATACTGAGGGGCAAAGGAATAAATTGATGAAAGAGTACTGGATCCAATGGCATTTCTGCTTTTTAATGCCTCTCAGTATACTTGCATATTCGTGCATATTCTTGAACATGCATATTATAAAGAAAACAAATGGTATTTGACTCCTCCAAAGGAGGAAATGGATTTTGACATGCATGTCAGACAAGTTACTCTTGCTTAAAGGGGAAGGTCACAGTTATTTATTTACTAACAAATCCTTGTTTAACAACAAGTGACACACATCACACATCAGCGACTACATTCTCTGGTTTGGTAGTCTGTAGATCTGAGTGTTATTAGCAAAGTGTGTTTCAGTCCTGCACTTAATATGAAAGCCACTCTGGACAGTGATAAAAAAGATTTTGAATAACATCCAATTTTTTAATCTCTCCTAGCTTGATGGAAACATTATAATGAGGGCAAGGTTGAAATGTCTATTTGAAAAGAATTTCTATTAAAAATTGAAGAATGGTTGCCAATTCTGCAATGTCCTGTTTACACCTTATTGTACCTCTGTTTCAGCTCCCTCTGTCTGTGTGTGCTGATGGAGACCTGCCTGTGTCTGCAGAGGTTGCCGAAGGGCTGGAGAGCAGTGTCAGGCACCTGCAGTGGCAGCAAGGTAGACTGAGGCTCCATTGGAAGACTGTCCAGGCTTCACGAGAGGAGAGAGCCATACTGCTGCACAAGGCAAGTATACACACAGGAAAGTTTTCTTCAAACCTTAAGTCGTTTCAACCTCAACCCCTGGGCAGAGCTTCCCATCTGGTTAGAAATTTGCCAGTAGAGTGTGTTCTGCTGTAACACTAAAAACACATTCCTGAAGATCTTTGCATTATGGAAAGGTTGTCTTATAATAACCAGTGATTCAGTTATAATTAAGGGTTTGTGGGAAGATGTCTGGAAAACACCATTTTGCTTCATTTAAAAAAATAATAATTTTGAACATTGCTTTTGTGTTATTTTATCAAAACTGGTTTAGTATGTTTTTGTTTGTTATATTATCATTTGTTAATTGAATTCAACCCTGAGAAAAGCACAGTATACTTTGTCACTATGCAGTATTAAATGTAGTGAAGGAGGTGTTGTAGGCACAGAGATATTGAGGATGGTTTTACATTTTCTACAACCTTAAAAGTTTTTAAATAATCTGAATAAATATTTAGGAAATGTAATTTTACATTATTTCCCCACTGTGGGAACGCAACTGTTTTTTGCTAACTAGATTCCACATACTCAACCAGAACTATAACCCCTTCATACTTGTGTTGTAAAAAATAGTCATAGTAATAAATTAAATGCCTTATATCTGATTTGCACTGTGAGAACAGTAAAAGCAGAACTGACTGGCCATAATAGAAAAATCACTGAAATGAAGATATATATCAATATAAGAATTTACTGTAACTAAACTTGTTTTTTTTGGAGCAAAAAAAAATGTATTGGCCATGTAATTGACTTGGTTTGCGATGATCAGGTAGACATTACTGTGGTGTGCTAGATAAATACTTTAGCCTGGATATTGCAGGCTTTATAAAGTCCAAGTTTTGCTGCTTGCTAACTTTGGCTGGTAGTGGAAATTCCTGAAATTGACTGAGTGCCACAGGGATTTTATATAGGGGTCAATGGTGGAAGGCAGAACACCAAAGAGAGCGATGGTTCTAAATCTGAAGAAAAAACAACAATCAACTAAATGGGTAAATAATGATGATGATGGAACTTACAGGGGTATGCTTTTTCTGGATCGTTTGTGGCTTGGTTGAGTTACTACTTGATTAACACTGTGGTCAGCAAGTCCTGCCACACTTGATTAAAATGTGTTTGTCTATATAAAGACATGTCCCCTGGTTAATGCAATAATCGTCTTTGAAATGCATTACTCCATTAGAGAATTAAATTCTCTGTAGACGGGGAAAGATACATTTACCAATAATAATAAAAAAAGATTATACACTCACAATTAATCCTGTAATAAAGTTATACAGTATGTAGTGCTAAATGGATGCTTGCACATGGGCCTCACAGTTGCTCCTGTTCATATTTAAGCTTTCTGGGGAGAGAGCTTGGGACTTTCATGATCGATTTTCTTCCGAATCAGTACAGAATCAAAAGGTCAGTATACATTAGAGAGTGGTCTTAAATCGGTGAAGCCCTGATGTCTGCCTTTCATTTACTGCTCCCTGCTTTTTCATAGTGTGCGTGATAATGACCTTACTTTCAGATCACACTCATGCCTACATCTTCTGTGTGCACTTTTATCATTAACACAGTGTGCATGGCAGAATGACCTGAGGTTTAAGAGACACATGGCAGTCCATCATGATTGCTGACCTTTGAAATAACATTAAACTCCTGTATCCATGTTTACAACAGGGCTCCTGTGGCTCGTTGTCTTCAGAGGAAATTGCATAAAATAAATATGTTGTCAGGCTGTCAGTAAGCTTAAAAGGTACTGATGTGATACTTGTATATCCCTATGGAATCCAACCAGTCTTTTTTTGGCAGGCCTCATGGCTTTATTCATTTAAGACCTGCGATCTTGAGAACCACTGAAAGAGTGTCTGTCCATCACACGATCACACTGCTGGGTAACAGAGTTCATGTTTATGACTGACCTAGTTACCTTGTACACACCAGGAGAAGGAATGTCTCTATTTTTAAATACGATGCTGAAAAATAAAGTTTAAATTTATATTTAATATTTATGCATTTTCCTTCTACCAGTATTATTAGACTTGGTAAAATATAATTAACTGGGTAATAAGAGTGTTGGAAATCAATATGGATACAAATAGTAGTGTTTTAAAGTCAAATTAAAAACAAGATTTATTTTAGCAAGACTTTTATGTTTTAATTACTTAAGACTTAACATGTGTGAAACATGGTCAGACATGATCCTGTCTCTCCTGTTTTACAACAGTGTCAGTAATTGAAGTATAGTTATCATTTATTATTATTGCCAGCAGCCATATCACTCTGCATCTCACAACTGGCAACCCACTGAAGCTAAGCAGGTCTGAGCCTGGTTAGTACCTGCATGAGAGACCTCCTAGGAAAAACTAAGGTTTCTGCTGGAAGAGGTGTAAGTGGGGCCAGCAGGGGGCGCTCACCCTGTGGTCCATGTGGGTCCTAATGTCCCAGTGTAGTGATGGGGAAACTATACTGTAAACAGGCGCCGTCCTTCGGATTAACCGTAAAACTGAGGTCCTGACTCTGTGGTCATTAAAAATCCTAGGGTGCTTCTCGAAAAGAGTAGGGTTGTAACCCCGGCGTCCTGGCCAAAATTCCCAATGGCTCTTACTGATCATGGCCTCCCAATAATCCCCATCTATGAATTGGCTTCATTACTCTGCTCTCCTCCCCACTAATAGCTGATGTGTGGTGAGCGTTCTGGCGCACTATGGCTGCTGTCGCATCATCCAGGTGGATGGTGCACATTGGTGGTGGAGGGGAGTCTCCATTACCTGTAAAGTGCTTTGAGTGGAGTGTCCAGAAAAGCGCTATATAAGTGTAAACAATTATTATAATTATTATTATTTTCTATTAGAGTTATGTTGCCTATAAGAAAATTAAAAAAAGCTTAAAATGAAAGGAAGCTATTTTTCTTTTAGAGCCATCTACTGTAGCTCATTTAATTTCCTGCAGTTAGGTGATCTGAGATCGATCTTATCATACAGTATATATTTAAAAATAGTTCAACAGACGTTTTTTAAAATGTGGGGGTCTCTCCTCTCATAGTTTCTTGAAGGTTATTACTAAAAAATACAATAGACACCTATGCAGTCCAGATTTCCATAACAAGGTTTAAGGTTAAATGGCACATAATCAAATGTTGCCTTTATCTAGAATGGATCAGGGGTGCCTGTGAAAATCATTGTACGCAGACAGTGAAGTGACATTTGTCATTTTTCTGTGTACTGTTGAAATCCCTTCTCCAGATGAAAAGATTAATATGAGGCAAAAGTACAGAATTTCAGCTTTTGTTTAGCCATTACATTATTATATGACTTTAGAGCAATATCATTTGTTGTGTTCTATCCCCCTGTTTCAGGTGAGTACTGGGCCAAATTAATTTAAAGTAAATCAACCTAGGGTAAAGGTAGTATTTGGTTGCCTTCTTCTTACATACAGTACATGACTGCTTCATATACGTGACCCAGACTCTTGATACTATACAGTATGTTCCTTTGAAATGCAAAGTCTCAGCTATAGCCAATTTCAGTTGATGCATGTTTGTAGGGTTTTCTGACTTTATTTCCATTTAAACAAGTAAAGTGTGTACAGAAGAGAATTCAAATAAGATTGAGTTTACTAATTCAAAAGTTTCCACTTGGAACTCCTTGGTTAAGTGTGAGGTATATTTTGCACCATTGTCTTGCTGCAGGTCAACTCACGTCAACTCACGTCAACTCACGTCAACTCACGTCAACTCACGTCAACTCACGTCAACTCACGTCAACTCACGTCAACTCACGTCACACTGCCAACATGAGTTACATCATCAATAAAGACCACAGAGCCAGTTCCAGAGGCAGCCATGCATGCCAAAGTCCACTGCCATCGTCCTTCACAGATTTATTTTGGAAAAGTTTTGACGTTCATTTATAATGAATATTGTATAGAAATATTATATTGTGTATAATTAATATATATTTAATAAAAAGCAACAGTATAATGTTATAATGTTTCTAAAAATAGGTAATAAAAATACTGTACTTGCTGTTATTGTTTTAAAAAAAAGTTGTAGTACTGATTTAATACCACTTGATATGGAATATTAATATGGAATCATGGAACTAAAGACATTTTGGCAGCTGAAATATCACTTGTGGATATATGGATGTGTTCAGAACTGACAAGAAGAAATATAATTGTTTGTGTGTTAATGCAGAAATCCAGGTAATTCCAAAGGGTTCACAAACTTTTTCTTGCAACTGTATTTTCTTACTTCTTATGTTTCTCTCTTTGTGCTTATTGGTGTTAAATTTCAGTTGCCAAGTGTCTGCTCAGTCCTTGAATTTGTCTTTTAGTAAGTCCCTTGCTCTTTCTTCTGTGTTTGCCATTCCCCTTATTTTTGCATCATTGACAGTTTAGTTAAGTTTGTCCCTTAAGATGACTTCTTGTTTTGTGTTTATTAACTAGTTTCTGGTCCCTGTGCTGACTTGCTGTTTATATCACTAGAGTGCTTTTCAACCACAACTAAATGGGTAACGCTGTGAACACACGTAGTGGAAATTATTCCAGACAACACACATGTAAAAGTAAAATCCATAGAGTAATAGAGTAACATCAGTTTTTGTGCCACCAAGCATCGCTTGGGCATTACACCTCTTGGGCCTCTTAGCAGTCACTCAAGCAGATAGAGGCACGAACAAATACTGAATTTGAAATCAGAATGTTATCATTGATTCCCAGGCAAATTTGACATTCATATTGTAAGAGGGTGTCTGATAGTTTTGGACAAGGCTGCATATGTGATAATCAAATGTGATTGAAGTTGATGTGCCAGAATAGTGTTTAATTTGTCCTACTCCACAGATGTCTGGAGCACTGCAATTTGCTCAGTTGGGAGTAATGCCCACTGTTAGCTCATATGAGGTTGACATTGCAGTGTAAAATGCTGAGAATTGTAAGTTTTTCTTATATAGGTAATGTGTCTTCTATGAGAAGAATGGTCCAGTATTATATTTGTTTCTTTAACAAGGATGCTCTATTGATAATGTATTTGACCTTCTCAGTGACTACAGTTAAGACCTCTGCCTTCACATTTCGTGCCTTATGATTTTTAACCTTTTGCAGTTTGTTTTTTTTTGGGAGGGGGGGTTGTTTTGAAAAAAAAGGTTTACTCTGACTTGCCTTAGAACTTGTTAAAGAGTTTTTTTAAACTTAAGACTTTAAATGCATCAGGTCAGATGCTGCAAAGGCTTGTCTGCAATTTAGAGAGGGATGTTAGTTTAGCACCTGTCTCATCATATAGTACGTCTTCCATGCTCAGTGTCCCTTAGTATCATATGTGGAACATTTTAGTCCAGCGGGAATTAGGCACTACTTCCAGCAACAATATGAGTTTCCTTTGAGCTCTGTCATCCACAAAGCAGTCAGCTTCAGACATGCTTGCTTCTGAGATCCAGTGAGATAGTTTGGTACTGTATACACAGATAACTGGAAAAATGTGGTGGGTACATCAGATTTGTGAGATTAAGAATGTTAAGTGGCTGTATTACCCAAGGAGCAGAGAAGAGATATAGTAAAAATACTTAGAAAAAAAACTTAAAACGTTGACATACAGTATAAGCTGTCCCAAGAGTTTACAAGTAATTATAAGTGATTCTGTATAAAATGACAATGAAGTATCTGTGTTGATAATAAATAAATATATAGTACTGAAAACAGAACGTTGGTTTAGTTTTGGACCTGGGGTGCAGTTTATATATTCTCCCTATCATCCCATGGGTTTCTTCTGGGTTATCCGGTTTCATCCTACAGTTCAAAGACATACTGGCATGTTTATTTACAAACTGTATAGTTAGAAATAATAATACAGATATAACAAGTAATAATATAATAAGAGGCTCTTTAATCTGTTTTAGATCCATTCCTACACTAAAGGCTGTCAAATCATCCCTACAGTCAGCCATCTTTCTGCTATGGAAACTAATTTCATCAAAGACCCCATGGAGCAGAACAGGGTGAGTGTTTCTCTAACAATTATCACAGTTTATATCTGTGTGTGCTGGTAAACGTTGCATGTGCTTAGAATTGCGAAGCTTACCTCATAGCTAGAACAACATTCTTATGTGCCATGATGACAGAGGTGCTTAATCTCACTTATCTCTTAGCAGATCCACAAATGTACCATTAATTCAAATTGTAGAGGCATCTATTTTGTTTAAAAATATTTATCCAGTAGAAGACTGCCTCTGACAGAAATCTAATTTGCTGTGAGGCTCTGGATGACAGGTGGGAATCCTGGGTTCGAAGAACTTGAAGATGAAACACACAGTTTTTCAAAGTGTTTGAGATGGGCCTGAAGCCTTTTCAGCCTTTTGGAGAAATATTCAGCTCCTAGACTCTTCTTATCTGCAGATTTTAAGTGGATTGCTTACATCAGCATCTAGAAGACCTGGATTTCAGGTGTGGCCTTAATCACTGCAATACATTTAACAGTAATATGTATATTATTGTAGGGTATCATCTCAGGATTAGGGGAAGTTCTAAAACAGATTATCTATCTGTAAAAGAATCTGTAAGAGTTTTTCAGGGACACTATTTTCCTCCTGAAGTGTCAATCAAGTGTGAATGGTTACTTGCCAGCTAGATATACTCATCCATTGGAGGTAACCTAAAGTAGATGAGTCCATGAGATGAGATGATGTCTGAGTCCATTGCTAAATAATCATGTACTTGAGAAGGAAATGTTTTACATTTGATTTCAAACACCCTTAAACGCATTTCAAACAGTAGATAACTGTTTGTTCTAGCTCATGACATGCTCGATTGGGGTAGGATTTTGAGATGTGGTCTCTAATATGTGAATATATAATATATGAATATATATAATATGTGAGTTCTAATATGTGAATATGTAACTGGATTCTGTTTTGTAGTGGTGCAATGAATAATGTTGTTTTTCCCCAGTGAAACCCTAAAGCCCTGGAATCTGTGAGATGGAGGTCAGTCATGGGGAGATGTTGAAAGCAGTAGCATACAGTAGGTAGCTACTGAAAAAGTTAATGAAGCTTTGGCCCTGACACTTTCTAGATAGTATTGAGTCCTTCCGATTTTGTGCATTTACAAAATGATAAATAATATGAATATTTGTAACTTAATATTTTATTCAAAACCTAATGCTAAAACTGAAGACTTATATGCCTAAGCTAAGTAATTCAGGTGGGTAGCTGAATCAGCATGCATAGGCCTCAAAGGAACAAGTAATAGGTTTATTCCATCCTGAAAAAAAGAAGAAAGAAAACACAAAGTTTCGGCCGTGGAGTCTTCTTCAGGTTTGAGCAAACCTCACACCTGACGAAGGCTCTATGGCTGAAACGTTGTTTTCTTTCTTCTTCTTTTCAGCATGGAATAAACATATTAATTTGTTCCTAAGCTAAGTAATGGTAAATATCAGCTAAATTTGACAATGTTGATTGTATAATTATTCAGATCAGTGAGCTCACTATTTGGTGTAGCACCTCTGGCAGAAATTAAAGTCACAGATCTTTTTGGGTAGGTCACTACCATCTTTGCAGATGGTGTTGGTGCATTTCTTGCCCATTCCTCTTGGCCAGAATGTATCTGGTCATTCATCTCTGCACTTTTTATGTTATACTCATTTGTACACAGTATTCCAAATGAGTTATTAAAAGTACATTGTACAATTTTATTTTTTATACTTATTAATTTAATTTTATGTATTGATTTAGTATTGAGATCGTGATTTGCCCCCACAGCTGAACAGGGGGCAAAAGATTTCATTTATATTATTGATTTTATTGGTAACAGTGCCTTGACTGTTTTCATGGTATGTTGCAGTGATCTGCATTCAAGCTTGCAATCAATTAGTTTTATTTTTTTTAAATCATAAAAGCATTCAATGTTGCAAGGGCTCTGTGCACCCACTTATCAGTGCTGATGTGGTCTGAATTTACCGTCTTTGGCCACTATTAATGTAAGGGGACAGACTTGCAGTTATGTTAAATAAAATCAATAATAAATAAATAAAATATTTTTTTGGCTGAATATATTGAGCTTAAACTCAGTCTTTTGTATTTAAATCGTGAAATTATTTCTTGTAATTTATACATTTGCTTTTACTCTCCTTGGACCACCATCCAATCAAGAATCTGTGGCAGTAGTTGAAAATTATTGTTCACCAATGGTCCTCATTGAATTCAAGGGAGCTTGAGCAATTTTGCAAAGAAGAATGAACAAACATTAACCATGTTCTCGTGTACAAAGCTAGTATCCAAGCACACTCATGGCTATAACTTCTGCCAAAAGTGCCCCTACCAAATGATGATTGAAATGAAGTGCATACTTATGCAATCAGTTTTTTCTATTTAATATTTAGAATTATTTTAGGAGGATCTGTTGAATTTTGCTTTCACTTTCACATTATACAGTGTTTTGTGTCAATTGATGGCACAAGAAAAAAAAACAAATGATTAATTGTTCCATACCAGAATGCGAAAAAGTCCAAGGGGACTGAATGCATTTGATAGCCACTTTATTTCAAAGCTTATCATATCTTACATGATGTATGAAAATAATAGAAGCTGTTATTATATAATAGTTATATTATAATAGAAATATATGGGAATTACAGAAAATAACTGACAAAATAAAATAACTGAGAACTGAGAAAATAAGCTTCTTCTTTTCACCTCTGCCTTCCATGAATTTAGTGTATAGTTTTCCATACTTGGCAAACAATATTGATTTAAAAAACATCTTGAGATGTAAGAAGAAGAAGTGTAATATAGAAAGAATAAAGAAACTCAAATCAGATCTAAGAATTTTGTTTGAGCCAAGGTTTATATAGTCAGCTGGCTTGAGAAGAAGATTAGGTCAGTTGGCAAACAAACAAGTAAATGTAATTGTTTTGAAATAATGACTTTAAGTGCTCACTATTCCCCCTGCTGGGTGTTTTCAGAAGAAATGATGTGAAAAAAATGTGTTTGCCATAGATTCTAAGTAATGGTAACAGCTAAATATTGCTTTTAATGGATCTCTGTTAAAAGCACAATTCACTACCTGTTCTCTGGTGAGACGAGTAGATCGAATCCTCACTATCTGTTCTTTACCACTGTAGGGGTTTTGTGAATTTACTGCCACAATAATTAGTTGGAACAGTAAATTGTGTGAGTTTACTTTGGCTATGAAGAATCAATCATCAGAACAACAAGGAATCTTTACAAGGATTTACAACAACAGAATACATTTATTGATACATAAAAATAATGTGTACATAAAACATTCAAAATATCAAGCTGATACAAGGTACTACGGTTAGTATGCCATTGGTTACACTAACGTCTTAATCAGTCTCATAAAATAATCAACATTCATGCACTCTTAATTAACTACGGCTACTTAAATTAATTATATTAATAATGTGTTAATAAAATTTTAATTTTTGAGAGGGCTAATATTGAATTATGCTCATCCACATCTGTGGATTTGTAACTCCCACGCAGAAGGATGGGGGAACAGCTGACTAAATCCATTGCAGTGCTATTTAATCTTGCTGGCTCTGTGCCACTCCAGTCCTTAAGCAGTTAGAAGCATCAGGGAGAATGATCCTGCTGTTGTCTCGCACTGGCAGTCGATTCCCTCAAATGGATTCTGCGGGTCAGCTCTGAGCTGAACTAGGGGCAAAGTCTGCGCACAGGGTGGTGTCTGCTCAGTCTGGGTGAGTCGCACAAAAAGAGGAGAAACTTGGTTTGCTCCTGATGTAGTGGCTACTGCTAAATAATGCTTTATACAGGATGGTTGACAAAAAGTCCAACCGTATTGCTCCGGTGATCAAGCAGGCGCACTGTGGTAGTTAGCTGGCCATGAGGTCTTGCTGCAGGTTAGAGCTCAGGCAGAATTCTCTTAACTATATGAATGGACTCAATCTCTTACTTTGTGCTTTAGGAAAACGTTTACAGTATGTCCCAAAGTTCAGACAACTTGTCAGTCAGCCAAGTTAGTTGAGCATAGAAGAAGGCGAAGTTAGAGGTGATGCACTGCTTTTTAAGTGGGAAATATGTGGTTGATGATCAGTCACGAAGCTACCAGGTGGAGTGGGTGCCCATACCCTTCAGGTCCCTTATTAGTTGGTCATCTTGTTGGATGATTGACAGTGGCCTGTGACTTTTAGTGTTATCTTCAGATGTCAGATCTCTGCCAGGCTCCAGCAGTGGACATCTGTCTTAACTGGATCTGGACTGTTCTGAGAAAGATCGTTATCCTAAAGATAAGCTCATCTCCCTCACTTGCTCACATGCAAGTCCACAAGGTCATCCTGTGGGTGAGACAACAGAGAGGGGCCTCTTTCGCTACATCCCTGTAACAAACAACAGGCTGTTGGTTTAGGCACACAAAGCTTGTTAGAAATCCTTAATATCACCTAATTCTAAGTAAAATGATAGGTCTTGTCCCTACACTACTAATCTGACTTCAGAAACACCTTTTGTGATGATGCAAGTAGGAGCTTTTTTTAATGCCATCTACTGGAGTGAAAATACAGGATGAACAATAGAACAGCAGACAAGCTTTTCCGAAAGGGTACCACTGGTATACCATGGGAGCCCGGAGGGTTTCCAAATGCCAAACGTAGGGAAAAATCAAACAAATGTTTTGTGATTTTTGTAGAATTCCAGACTGTTCATGTGGTAATGTTCTAGTTTTATTATTTATATCAACAGATGTATTATTTAACTGTGGTTCTGTTTATTTTGCTCTTTATTTTTTTGTATTTAGTACAAATATATTTGTTATATTTGTTTCAGGGAGCACTAACTCACATCTTTCACTACAATTATCATTTTTTTTTCTCCAATTGTATTAGCTGGCATACTGTGGGTGCACATGCAGATGATCTATAGGTTTTCATCTGTTCATACACGCTGTACTGTATATATTACAGAAATTCCAGTATATATTCACTCCCTACCCATCTAAACTCCTTAGCAAACAGAATATACAT